GCCTGCATAGAAATGTATATTGGTTAGGATTGGGCCACAGACTAGATTAGTTCGGATGAACTACCTCTGTGGTCCACACCAAGAAATTATTATTATTATAAGATTACTAGAATTGTTATTATTATTGGTGAAATAAATCATATAATAAAAAAGTACAGGCATTTTCGGTTTCTGTGTATGTTTAGAATTAGCAGAAAACTGTTTTACAGAATATTTACCTTTTAAAACAGGATGTAGTCCAGGCATTCTTTGCAGTGTTTCTTTGCGAAGTCGCAACCTTTAGTCAGCTAATCTCGGTCAGTGTTTAACCTTCATATTGCGCCTGACATGCTCATCCAGGGAGGAGTTGTGGGTGATGAGAGTTGACTGAGACTTGTCAATGGGCTACAACTAATAAACGATACTGACCAGAATCTTTTATCACACATAAAGTACAAACATTGTCATTTCATTGACATTTAGGAAAGGGGGATTCACAATTTCTTTTCAGTGTTCTTAACTGTCGTTCGTGCTATACTGTCACAGATCTAGTTGCTATAAATATAATTCAACTATTTGTATTTGATTTAATCATTCGCTATATTTCAGATGACCCGTTGGAAACCACCAACCTATTTAACGACCCTGACAAGCAAGATATTATCAATGAAATGAAGCAGCGCCTTGATGAGTATAGAGCAAGTTTGCCCCAATTCTGGTTCCCTCCTGGGTTTGATGAGAGAGGTAATCCAGATAACTTTGGTGAAGCATGGACACCTGGATGGTGTTAAATCGTGCTGAAAACTAAAAGGCTGCATGTCGTAGAGAGTATTTTAGAAAATAATAATAAATTATATAATGTATACATATTGATATTGCGTATAGTTATATTCCTGGGTTTGTATCTCATACTATTGAGCTACGTCATCGCCATACATATTTGGAATAGTAATGTCTCGTATGTTGTATCGCCCGAAACATGTAAAACAAAAACTCATGCGATTATCTTAGCCGATTTATTTCATTAGATGAGACAGGATTTCTTCAGAAAAAATATAAAATACAGGGAGGCGTAATCATTCAATCTCGCCATTTTCTATATTCATCAACAATCCATTCATCAATAGATATGATTTTTTGAACTTGAAATCAAAGAAACCACCATGATTTTCTACCTCGTATGTTGATATTCATTGTAAAAGTCCTTTCACTACACGCTATTTTGATCCAGCGTAAGAAGCGATGTATGCGAAAATTGCTCAGATGATAATACAATCAGAAAAATTTGCATACATTTACGTCACATCATTGTAAACATTTTACGAAACAGAGCCAATGCAAATTGTAAATAGCATAGCAACGGTTGCCAAGTGACATACTTTCGATATCAACCAACTTATTTTCACAATAGCAACTAAGTTTATTTGATATTTGAAGACCGAGTTTATTAAACATTTTAATGTATTTCAATATATATATGTTCTATTCATAATATCTTCATCCTGAACAAAAGCAAATTACACATGGCTTTGTAACCTTTGCTAGGAAATGCATTTACATCTGTGCTTTTCTAACCTGTTAGCAATTTTTTAGACAACAGTAAAAATAAGTAGGTAATGCATGCTCCTGCTAAATTATATTGAATAATAATCCATGCATTGTATTAATATTTAAGCAAAAGAAGTGTAGTTAATTGGTGGTGGGAGATACAAATTATACAAACAACTTACCACTGTCATTTTAGACAAAGAATGCATAACGAAGAAAGAGGAATTGACAAGTCCCATAAGAATGGGAAATGGCATAGCTCCGGTTATTTGAAGTTTGTCAAATATATTTTGGAATGTGTCAAAGAGCGAAGACAAATCTAAAGTAGAACAACCTCAAAACGGATTTTCACATGCAACAATAATGGAGGATTAGGTATCAACACCTATGTGGAAGTAAAACGTCTGTGTGTTTCTTTCTGTTCTTGAAGTCTGCACATTTCAATTAGATTAACGAGTACAGAATTGTACATATGAAATCCAAAAAATAGGCTCTTCTGACAAAATTAAGTGTTTAAGAGGTTATCGCCAAAATACCAGGAAAGATGCCCTACCAATTTATACAACAGAGCTCGTAGAAAGGGCCCGCACATTTTATCTCAAGTGACCAAACATGCAAAGTTATGCATTAGCAGAGCTAATATGCCACATAGAGAAGATGAGACAAAATGAAAACTTAAAGGTGATCAAACCTAATTTTTACTCTTTGAGACTAGATAAGCATGGTGCTGGTGTTACCAAACGAATAAACAGTACGCACGTTAAAGACTGAATTCTCATGCAAGGGAGAATTATGTTGATGGTTTATGAGGATGATGTAGTCATCCTCCTAATCATGACTACCATACTGATCGAGATAGTGTCATAATGACTCAAATTTCAGACTGGGTCTGACAGGATAATTTTACACAAAACGTAAAATGTTTCACTTCTGTCACTTGCCAGCATGCATACAATTGTCAAATATTAAAGATCAGACATGCAACAAGAACCTCAGTGAAGCAGTACCCACCATCGTTCAGCTGTTAATGTTCAACTGTATCACGAGGAGCTAAGACTCTGTGAAAGTACAACGATGTCAATCAAGATAACGATCGGGAGATGCCACTACTCATCTTCGAGGGTCGTGCATTAACCGCAGTTGGACGATTGCATTGTGACCCTTGGTGTGTCAGCCTCATATGATCAAATCATGGATATAATCACATTATTAAGAAATAATGTCTTCGAGTATTATCAACAGATTGGCACAGTCTGTTCTCACTAAAAGGGTCAGTTCATCACCACAACCGCTGACAATACAGACCACAATCCATGCTCAGCTACCACTACTGATTTATTAATTTAACTTTAGAACGGATGAGTGTGGCAAATTTGTGACACTTTCTGTCGCAATACGAAAATGTTAAATGGTGTCGTAGAACATTATAAAATTGTTCATATATTCGATATATTCATCCTGAAATTGTACCTTAGACATGTACCTAAAATTGGGGATTTATACCGGCGGCTATGTGATAACAAAGCGGGAAAGTCGTCAAGGCTTAGATACAGATAACAGAAAATCGATGTTGTTTTCGAATATCTAAAGAATGTGAATGTGAATCGATGGAAACAACGTACTATGAAACTCATTAGTAAGATTTCACAGCATAGTCGTGTTATATTACGCCTGTCATCAGTTTTAAACTGGGAACTCTTAATAGAATAACGCTTTGATCCCGCCTTATTCTGATTGTTGCGACATATTTGGTCTAATTTAATTAGATATTTAATTACAATATAGGGCATATACAGTTATATTTAGAAAATAAACCTATGCGTTGATTCTATGTTCAACAAAATTATATAACATAATAACATATAATTATATAACATTGTAATTTCAACGCTGCTGAAAGTTACACAAATCAAACCAAGGTATTCCTCTTTAAGAATACCGCGTACATAGAGGAAACCACAACCCCATTAGAAAAATTGAATAGTAGTGGTTTTGTCAATTTTCAACGATCGCACACATAGCATGTTGGCATGATTTATGTATCGATCCTGTTATGAAACACTTGCAGTGAACATCAATATTCACAGGGACGATTTAATTTACAGCAGTAGGAATTTATTTCTTTTTTCTATAACTCGATGACGTATGCAACACGTACAAATACAATTAAAAAAACTACTATTGCCCCTGTAATTATGATAGGATAATGCCAAACGAAATGATACGTTAGCATTATTGTACAGGCAAGAGTTGAGCTATACAAATAATGTGCCTAAATATATATACATTAGCATTCAGGTGATTTAAGGTAGCGAGAAGTGTTATTTTTTATTTTATTTTTTTTTTTGAAAAAAATAATAAAACAGTTACTTTTGATATATCATCGAGCTTTTCAAAAGATCAAAATTTCGATAAGACGCTGCTCAAATTAGTGTTTTATAAGCTAACACAAATAACTGCCGTTTCGTGGATATTTCCATACTGTTTATCTTTGGCACAGTTTAAATGATCTCTGATAAATGAACATCTTATCTGTATACTCCGTTGTTGACGATTCTGGTATAACTAATTACAAGCTTCCTGTTGCAAACAATGCGTGTTTATCTAACGTACATTGTCAGCATTATTGTCAGTCAAGACTTTTTGGAAACTTTCTATTAAAGCGGGAGGGTCGTCCCAATC